CCACACTCTTGATGAGAGTATTCTGGCAGTTACATACCTTTTGCTCGAACAGTGAACGTCGCAGCTTCTTGGTCATGGCGCGGCGCATCTGCGCATCGGATTGGCAGCGAGGATCGGAATTGACCATGCCATGACCAATGCCAGCGGCGCCCTCTGCGCTTCCATTGCGCTCCTTGAGCTGCGGCTTGGGCTTCTCGTAGCGATTGCTGGTGTCGCGCCTGAAGCGATCCTGCCGGTAGGGATCGCTGTTTAGCGTGGCGGAGGCGCTGTTGCTGTTGCTGTCCTCCAGTGCTGTGGCCGCGTAGGGCGTCTGCTGTTGACGATCCGCCTCGCGTTCGTGCTCCTTCATCTGCTCGATACGCTCACGCTTGGGTATACGGAAGGTTTCGGGCAGGGCACTCCATTTTTGCAGCAGTGCCACCATACGTTGACGCATTGCCTCCAGCTCCGCAGTTGGTTTTGATTGTTGCTCCTGTGTAGATTTTTGTTTCTTAGAACGTCCCTTCGCCAGGCTGGTGCTCCAGAGCTCCACGCTCTGATAAACGCGACTATCGTTGAGCATTGTCTTATTCGGTATGGGCAGCGATTCCAGTGCCTCGATCAGCGCCACACGCAGTTGATAGTCGTTGCCGCTCTCGCTGATCCAGGCATGCAGCAGTCGCAGGCCATGGTAGTCGAGGAAGAGCCGACGACACGGCAGTTCGCCATGCGTGAGCACGCCCAACAGCTCCAGGCGTGTCTCCAGCAGCTTGGCACGCACCATGCAGCGCGAGAAGCTGAGCGTGTTCGCCTGATTCTTGAGGCCACTCTGATTGAGCTGACGCAGCTGCGCCAGCACATCCGGATCTTCACGCTTGTCGGGCATGCGCGAGGCAAACTTGTCGCCAATGTTGCTGCCCGACGGACGTAGCCAGCGTCCGGCCTTGTACTCGCGATCCTTGGGCTTTGTGGGCTTCTTGCGCGGTGCTGTTGCCACCACCTTGGATGACTTGCTCGCCTTTGGCTTGGTGAGCTTGGTTGCTTTGGTTTTCTGTCCCTTCTTGTCGGCTGCAGCCGCTCCCTGTGCCTGTTCCGGTTCCTGTTCTGGCTCCTGTTCGTCCAGCTCCTCGGATTCACTGCCGCTCTCCGCGTGCAACTGCTCACCTTCATCCGAGTCCGGCTCGCCGCCAATCCAGCCGCGACAATTTTCCGACTCGCAGTAGCAACGCTGAGCGTCACGACCATAGCGCTGATACTGATAATCGAAGGTGATCTCCTCGCCAGGCAAGATCGTCTTAACGCTGAAGAAACCAATGCGCAGCTCGCCATTCACCGTCCACTTCTGGGTCTCGGCATTCGGATCACAGCTGTGGTTGATGTACCGCGAAATGTTGCCCTTGACGGTCGCATCGATGATTGCCTCGCCCCTCAGCGCCATAAAGTAATAGTGGCGATTGCGGATCTGCGAATAGTGATACTGGCGGCGCTCGAACTCCTCGCTGTCAATGACCTCGCCCACATATTCCATGATGAATTCGCCCGGCGGTATCAGCATCTCCGCCGTAATGCCGCAGCCCTTCTTCTTGGTGCGGAAGACGCGGCAGGGCCAGCCCTGGTGCTGCTGGAACCGTTTGTTCGTGCAACGGTCGCCATAGGTGCACAGCGGACCGCACTCGATCATCAGCATTCGATTGATGCAGCCGGCGCCGCAGCACAAAAGCCCCATGGCCTCCTCGTCGCCGGTGAGGAAGCAATCGCATTGCATCTCGGCATTCTCCTTGCTCACTTGACGGGCGCAATGGTAGTAATTGTCCTGCAACAGCTGAAATGAGTTGAGACCGTGCTGGCGCAGGAACTGCTCGTTGATGGCATCGATGATCGCCAGTTCGGCCAGCTGATCCTCCAGGCTAACGGGAACGGACGCCTGATTATTGACGTTGCTGAAGCAGCTCATGCTGCTGAGGCTGGCTCTGGGCAACTGCGGCTTCTGCTTGATGCGATGCGAGCGACGCACTGCATTGCCCTTGCCATTGCTATTGTCATTGCCATTGTCATTGTCATTTTCATTGCCATTGTCATTCCCATTACCAGCTGCATCGTCAGTGGCGCTATTGCTGGGCTGCGGCGATGTTGCGGGTGTCGTGATTGGTGTCTCAATATTTGCCACACAGCGTGCAAACTCATCTTCCTTCGACTCCTGCCCATTGTCCGGCTTGTAGTCGCCATCTTCAATGATCTGGGCAAGATCTGTCAGCTCAGCTGTTGGCGTTGGTATGCCACAGCTTGGCCCCTTGTTGTCGGCACTGATGGATTCCGGAGACTCGGACGCTTCGCTGATTTTGCATTGCGATGCGCTGGAATTAGAGTCAATGGAATCCTGGCAGCTCAGGCTGCTCGACAGCCGCTTAGACTCTGAGGCGTCTTTGTCGGTCACATTCTTAGCCCTTGCCTTGGACGCCGGATCAGATTCGGGATCAGCTTCCGCGGCCTCCAATGGAGACTGCGAGTTGCCGTCATTGGTGCTGGACAACGTTGAGGAGTCCTCGGCACGTTCCTCGCAAATCGTACTTTTGGCAGAAGATGAGTCGATATTTGTACTGGTATGGGTGGTGGTGTTGGTATCGGAATTGATGGTGGTGGCGGTGGTGGTATCGGAATTGATGGCGGTGGCAGTGGTAGTATCAGAATTGATGGTGGTGGTGGTAGTATCGGAATTGATGCTGGTGGCGGTGGTGATGGTATCGGAATTGATGGTGGTGTTGCTGGGGCTTTCCTGCTCCTGTTCCGGCTGTGCCGATTGCTTGTCTACCTCAAGCTGTTTTTCAGTTTTCCCATCCTCGCGCATCTGAGCGCTGTCCTTATCCATTGCCTTGAAAAGCGCATCGCTTTCAACGACGCTGGCTGTTTTCTCCTCTTCCTGCTTGGTTTTCTTGTCCACATTGCTAGAAGCTGTGGAAATGGAAATCGGAATATTCTTTTCTTCTTCTGCCTTTTGCTCGGCCGTCTCCATATTAGGGTCAGCCTCTAATGGGCTCAATAATAACTCTATGCTGGATGCCGTGTCAGAGACAATCGGCTCCGAAGCGCTGGAAGCCAACTGGTGAGATTCCATTCGAGTGCTGCACAAATTATCTGTAGAGTGCTTCTCTTCTGAAGTTATAATATTTTTTGCTTTTTGCTCGGTCTCTACACTGCCAACAACGACTGACAAATCAGTAGTGGCTTGCTTTGATTCCAAAGCAAAACTAAGTTCTGTTCGGACGTCTGATTGGATGTCAGCGTTAGGCATTTCGGGCTGTGTTTCCAATTTGCAAATGGATTCCGATTCGACATCCAATTGCGGCAACAGCCCTGATTTAGAGCTATTGCTGACATTTTGTTTATTGAGATCAGTAATTGCATCTGGTTGCGACTCCTGTTCGGATGATTTACTCTCCAGCACAATTTTGGAGCTGATGGCTGCGATTTCAGCAAATGTCTCTTCCAGCGTCATTTTGCCGCCGTTTGCAGAGCCCCGCAGACTGGAGCGGTTGCTACGCCGCTTGGCCGAAGGCACCGGCTCATCACACTCCTTCACTTGCTTATTCTCTGCATCTTCTTCCCTTAAGCTACTTGTTGTACTCTGTGGTTTCAGTTGTGGCAGTTGTTTGTCAGCCCCAACAGTTGAGATTTTCTTAGACGCTTCGGTTCTCGATTCCCTCAGACGCCGCTGATCTTTCTTAAATTTGCGAAGCATCACCTTCACGTTAACAGCTGGCGTCCGCTGAGCCTCTTTTGATTGCTTGTTAGTTGGGAGCTTAATTATTGTATCAGTCTTCATATTTATTCCTGTTATGTCCAGTGGCGACTTTGGTTCGTTTAGTACATGATTTGGTAACGTCAGCATAGTTTCACGCTTGACGTTGACACGCAACTTCTGTTTAAATTTGGTTTTCAATAGGTAATCGGTGTAGGCATTAATTCCACTGTAGGCAGTGGTTGAATTGGTAGCCGAGTCAGAACATGAGATGCTGCGACCATTTTCTACAGTGCCTCCGTCTACAACTTGTGATGTGAGCGCTGCCTGTGCGCTGTGGTTCCGTCCACTTCTGCGTTGTTTCCGAAACAGTGAGTCTCGTTCACTTTGCTTCTCAGCTAAGCTCGACTCCTCACTGCATCCTTGCTCAAGTGTCAGGCATTGTGTTGGCTTTGGCTTCGCAAACGGCTCAGCTGAAGATAGCGATGTCGATGACGTAGGCACTGGCAGATCTGCAGCTGCTGGTGGCGCTGTTGTTGCCGCAGCAACATCACGTACGTCAAGTGAGCATCTTGTTGACGTTGCTGGCACAGGTGCATCAGTTTGTAATTTGTTTGCCTTTCGGTTTTTATTGAGCAAATTCAAAACATCAAACTTAATCACTTTCTTGCGAGAGCTGCGCCGGCAATCGCTCAATGTAGGCGACACTGTGGGCACGTGTTCTGCGAAGCTCTCCGCCTTGAAGTCCTCGGCTGGTGTTTCGGTCCCAGTCGGTTGTGGGCTGCTCTTCGGAGGGCTACCGAGACATTTGCGCGGCGTCGTTGATTTTGCCGGCGTGTTTGTCACTTTGCTTGACGTCGGTTCGTCCATTGATTTTAGTTGGCGCCAAAATCAATGTATAGGCACTTTGATTTAGCCGGCGCACTCAGTTTTAATACTACCATAAAATTGTTTAATTTACAAATTATGGCAATTCACTTATTTGCAATTAATTTATAGGCCCAATAAGAATACTTACATAGAATAAAACTACCAATGGACACAGATCCAAATCTTTTTCTTCTTCTTTCGCATTTGTTTAAACACTTGCAAAAACTTAACTACTCAACTTAAGAAAACAGCAAATAAAAACCAAGTATGTAGGTCAAGCGTTGCCATACATTGTACTATCGATATGCAATTGCGATTGGCTGGTGTTTTAAAGATAAATCGATGGTCATCAAATTATTCATAGTGAAATAAATACACGTAAACATCGATATTTCGATACAATTCTGAAGCTCTTTTCAACACTATGAGCGCGCCTTTTATTAAAACGCAGTTTTCTTATAGTAAATAAAAATGCCACCAAAGCGTGCTAAAAAAGCTGCCCCTAAATCTGTGAGTATTATTACATCCACCTCTAAATGTAATTCATATTCAAGCATACATGTATATATATCGTGAGTAGTCACCAGCAACGAGCGAGGACTCCAAGGCTTTGGATCCGAACAATCCGGTCCTATATATTGAGCATTGTCGCTCTTGACGGGTCTTTCGCCGTCGCGCCGAGGAATTACATGCTGCTCTGCAAAGTAAAATTCAAGATGCAGGCCAGCCATTCCATCTCCAATTACAACTAAATGCCCATGGCGCACCCAGACGCGGAGCATTCGAATTGGCCTTCGCCCCACATCCCACAACAATAGTCGAAGAACAACAATCCCTTTGGTCCGGTCTGAAACGCACACCGCGTGCCCAAAAGTTCCCCAATTTCGATGAAATATATCAGCAAATAATGCAGGCATTCAACCAATTTGCAGAGAAAACGAACAAACGCAAACGCTCATCATCATCGCCGCCAACATCCTCATCCAGTTTGCCAAAACGTGCAAAAGCTGCAACTATTGAGTCTCCAAAAGAAAAAGTTTCCAAATAATGTGATTTTGCATCGCTTAGATGGCATCGATAGTTTTTCAGCAGTAGCGCCATATGATCATTGAACGGTAAACCCCTAACAGGAGCTGTTCTTTGTGAAGCTTTTGCCTGAAAGCTGAAAACCTTGCGACGTCATTCATTAAGCGCATCGATTAAGATCACATTAATATACATAAATAATGATGATTATTGATTGATTTTTATCGAATAAAATTCTATTAAATATAGAGCGTTGAAAGAGCTTATGGTATATATACATACATACAAAATATATTATGTTTCCATATAACGAGATTGTTATACTTAAGTTTCTCAATATTTGTCGTTTGTAAGTTGAATTCGAAATAAACAAAAACAAAATAGAGATCTGTTTGAAAATTGATTTATAATTACGAGTTTTATATACATATAAATATCTCATGTTTTTTTTTATTCGTACAATTTTGTTCTCGCCCAGCCAATTTTTAGTGGTTGTGCTGTATACACTATATAGATGTACGTTCTTATAAAAAATCATGTATAGTCCAGATCTAAATAACTTCAAAAATTTGTCTAAAAGCCTTCCAAAGGTTTATAAAATTATGATTTTCAATTTTATTAGAACTTTTGTCTTTGATTTTCAAAATGTACAATTTTCTTACTTGTTTTGTTTATCTTTCTTTTTTCTTGTTTGTTAAATTTGTATTTCAGCTCACACTTCCTTATGAAATATACTATATCCTATAGAAAAAATTTTGGTTTACGAAATTGTTTTTGTTGCGCTGAACTGGACTGAAACCCTTAAACCCTACCACACTGCCTAATAATACATGGAGCCAATGAATTTTTAATTTGAACTTAATTGTATTTAATTAAATAAACGAGGGTAACAAAAATTATTAAAAAAAAAAAAAAACAAAATTAAGCTGGAAAATATTGAATATGGCGGCAACAAAAACCGTTTGAAACTTGTAAAGAATTTCGCCGCTTCGATTCCTTACATTTTTTGTTTAAGTAAATTTGCATTATATATACATAAATATATATAAATAATGTGTATGTATTGGATGTATGTGTGTATATATAGGTTATCAACAATAAATTGGCTATGGGAACGTACAATTAGATAGGCGACAGAGTTACCAGTAGAATAAAAATTTTGCTACGACTGCTTGGATGTGTTTTGTCCTGGCTCGTCTGGTCTGGTCTAGTCAGGTGCTGGACTCGAATAAGGAACTAATAAAAACTAGGTCTTACGCTAATTTTAAATTACTAATAAGTTGAAAAAAATAGTAAATCGCCGTTTAAGAAACGAATACGATAAACAGTTAATTAGATAGATTGATGGGTAGCTTAGGTAGTGGGTGAATGTAGTCCATGCGAAATTCCACCTACATGGGCTGATCCTAGCGTTACAGATACTTGCGATAATTGCGCAAATGCGCATTGCCATCCTCAACACCGACTCCACCCACGCCAACGGCCGCGGCGGCACTCTCGAACGATGGCGGTTCATTAACCAGGCCCGGACTGGGCGGATCACATGTATTGCTGGGCATGCCACTGTTGCCAGTGGTGGTGTTGCCTGTTGGTGTGCCCTTGGCACGTCGCCTGCCCCGTGTGCCAGCGCCGCGAGATCTGCGTCCACCGCTGGATGTCGGCGTGCCACCAATGTCGCCCGCCTCAATCGCTTCCAGTGACGCATCCAGCGCCGCATCTGTGGTAGTAACGCGCGTTCGCGTCACAGCGCTGCGTCGGCGCGCGCTGTTGCTGTTGCTAGCGGTGGCAGTTTCATTGCTGGCATGTGTCGATCCACGTTTGCCCGGCCGGCGTTTGCGTCGCTTTTTGTTACCATATCGCGGATCGTAGTCGTACTCATCGTCTGCTGGAGATTTTGGATCCTCCAGCGAATCTACATCGTTCATATCCATTTCATCGTAGAACCACTCCTTGGGCAAATCATCTTTTGATTGATTCTGCTGTTGCTGCTGCTGCTGTTGTTGTTGCTGCTGTTGTTGTTGCTGCTGCTGCTGCGTCTGCAATTGACTGTCTTTGCTATCGGATGTATCACCGCCGGCGGCGCCCAGCGAACAAGACTCCTCCATGCTGAACGCCCCGTTGAAGTCATGCGTTGTATCATTGTGCAGCGTGCTCAGCACAGTCGGCGTTGTCGATGCACCCCCACCCGTCAGCATATTGAGGCTTAGCGTGGAACTGCTGCTGTTAGTGCTGGCTATGCTGGCAGTACCGCTGATAGCAGCGCCACCAATATTAATGCCACTAGCCACTAGCGCTTCGTGTTCCTTGCGCAGCGCCTGAAACGGGCGCTCAGGGAACCGGCTGCAGGTTTGTGGTGGAGTAGACCTAATATTTAGGCATAAGAATAACTTGGAGTTCCATGATTACTCACCTGTACAACTTGGTCAAGTACTGGCGCCGACTTTTACGCCAGCGAGCCGCAGGATACGTGTAGATCTGGCCCTGACGAAAGCCAGGCATTCGCTGTCGCTTGTCCATGAATAGTTGTGAGTGATTCTGTGCAACGCCCGTTTGTGGATCGAGGAATGGCAATCGTAATCGCCGTTCGATGCAGAGGCGTGTGTTGAAATTGGCGCTGTATTCGATCGTCTCACGGTAGCTGACATCCTTGAAAAAGCTTTCGATCTTGGCCAGATTAGGCATTGATACGATTTGTATGTTAACGGCCGAAGACATGGCTCCCTACTGCTCCGGTGCTATCCGCGCTCTCGCTTCACTTCCGCCTAGTGTATTGTTATCTGGTTGTGCGAGCAACGCTTAATCCATTTAAAACCAGCCCCAGCGGCTAGCGCTGAGTTGACGCTGCGCCGCTGCTGCTTGCGTTGACTTTTGTATTTTGTTTCTTATCTCTATTCGCCTGCTTTTTCACACCGCTTTCACTGTTTTCGTCTTTTGCAAATCTTCTAGTGCTAGGTTGTGTGTGGCTGCTATTAGCAATGTTTTCTATGCGATATATCGCTACCATATAACAAGCCTGTGTTGTTTTGCATAGTTGCTGATGATTTTATCGATAGCTTTGACTTTAACGGTCATTTGTAATATGTCAGTAGTCAAATTTTTTTGTCACTATTCAAGTAAACTAAGGCGTATTTAAAATTAATAGCCGTGTAGAGTTTTTTATTATTGATTTTAAATAATCACCCATATAGCCTCCCTGGTAACGATTGGTGTGGCAACTTTGGCATATATTGTTTTTGTTTACTGCTGACGTTGCCACTTTTGACGTTGACAGTTCATCGTGAGTGCCTGCACGAATGACAGGTGCGATTGTATGTGTAAGCGAGCGGGGGTCAGCCGCTTTTCCGTTTTAGTTGATTTTTAAAGCATTTAAATGGAGTTGCACAACATAACACTGCCAGCGATACTAATTGGGCTACTGCTATTATGCGGCTCATCCAACGCCTGGCACTCCGAGGAGCTGGAGATATTTGATCTGGTCGAAGAGGTCAACAAGAATTTCTACGAATTTATGGGCATCAATCAGACTGCCACGAACAATGAAATAAAGCGCGCTTTTCGCACCCTTTCCATTGTTTTACATCCCGACAAGAATCCGGCCGAGGATGCCAACATTCAGTTCCGCAACCTTGTCTCTATCTACGAGGTGCTCAAGGATCCATCGAAACGCGAAAAGTACGACAAGGTGCTGCGCGATGGCATGCCCAACTGGAAGTCCGCTCTGTATTACTATCGCCGAATGCGTAAGATTGGCCTGTATGAGGGCGCTTTCATCATATTCCTGATCATTACCGTGGGCCAGTATCTGTTTGCTTGGGCATCTTACCTTGAGACAAAATACACAGCTGAGCAGGTGTTCGGCACCAAACTGAAGAAGCTGCAGAAGCGCAACAAGAATATTGATATGGACGTCATTCTGAAAGAGATCCCGATGCCTTCATTGCTCAATACATTGCCCATTCAAATACCTCTCGCCATTTGGCATTTGCCGAGAACAATTAAAAATGGATTTAGCAAAGCCAATGAGCTCAAGGAGCTGGCATTAGAGAAGCGCAGGCAGTAAGTAAATAGAAATGATGATTTGGCTAGTACGATTCAACAATTTAATAATGCTTGCAGAGAAATTGAAGAGCAGCGTCGCCTACAGGAACAGGAGCGAGAAGCTGAAGAACAAGCGCGTCTACGTAAAGAGCAAAAGGAAAATTTGCGTAAGCGCAAGCAGAACGCAAAGGCACCAGAGAAGACCGAGGAGGAGTTACGTGGCTATTCACAAATCCAGGCACGAGAGCTAACCGAAGACGATGCAATACGTCCAGTTACCCAAAAGGTAAAAACTTCAAATATCAGCATCTATGTTTAATATTAATTTGTTTTTATAAATTATGCTCAAAGACCACCGTCAGCGGCGGATTTTGGACTGATGAGGATCTAACCGAGCTCATTAGGTTAGTTAAAAAATATCCAGGCGGTGCTGGCAGTCGCTGGAACACCATAGCCGAGTCCATGAACCGCACTGTACAAGAGGTGACATTCATGGCGGCCAAGATGAAGGAGAACGGCTATCGTATACCAGGCCAATCGGATAGCGTGGCTGAGCACATTGTCCAGGAATCCCAGGAGGCAGTCCGCAAGGAGAAGATCAAGAAGGCGACGCCCACCGTTAATGAGAAGAGCATGCTTATACCAGAGACAAACTGGACTCAGGATCAGCAGCGTGCCCTCGAAGCGGCCATCGTTAAATATCGAAAAACCGCTGGCGGCGATCGCTGGGTAAAAATTGCCAACAGTGTGCCAGAAAAGACCAAGGAGGAGTGCTTAGTGCGCTACAAATACTTGTGTGAACTAGTTAAGACACAGAAGAAGGCCGAGGTAGAAGAGGCGGAAGCGTCGAACATCGACGGCGAGGAGAAGGAGCCCCCCGTAGAGGAGACGCCAGCTGTTGTTGCTCCGGCTGCGCCAGCTAAAAAGCTCAGTAAGCGCGAGCAGCGGCGACGCAAACGCGACATGTCCAGTGATGAGGACTCTGATGATGCATATCAATATGAGATCAGTTAGTTCAGTCCCTCGCCTAATCTTAACCGTAGTCCATGCCTCAGAGATACTTCGTCCTTTATCAATTTAATCCATATCGCAGCCAAGCACCAATTTGGCTTAACTTTAGCCAGAGCGAGAAGGGTCATAATTTAGTTGGGTATATATATTTCTATATATACTACCATGCCAAGGTATTAGCCAGCTCAAGTCCCATTTGAACTAAGTAAAATTTTTATGTTTAACGGTTTTGAATTTAATTTCTCCTATTATCAGAGCTCTTAACAATTAAGCACTAGTTTTTTCTCACTCGAAACGGTGGCCAAGATATCATTTCATCTCTTTCTTTTTTTCCCAACTTGTGTCTGCGTGTGGTAGGGCTTTAGTGATTAATTAGTTTACATTTCTGTGGCTCAAAATTTAACGTTTCAGCATTTCGTTGCATGAAATTTAATTTAGACTCAACATGTGGTATGTGAACCGCTTGTTTTCTGTTTTGTACATAAATGTATTTTATAATTATATTATACCTAAAAGTTTCTTTGCTAAGTAAGGAGTTGAAACGAAAGAGAAAAACCAAAAGAATATAAACTACTACGTATCGTTGTGTTTCTCCAAATCGATGGATCCGGTGGCCAGCACAGATTCTTTGCTGATCTCTAAGAATGATGTCTGTGACATTTCTGTGTCGTCCTCCTCCTCCTCAATTTCCATTTCAAATATCGTCATCTTCCGCCGCCGATCAGAGAGAACGGTAGCTACCTTTCGACTGCCCGAGACGGCCAACATCTCACAGACGCCGTCCAGGGCCTTGAATGCAGCCGCATCTGGTATATCGTGCACACTGTGCGTCACAGTCGCCTCATCCAGTTTCATGAGTGGCGTCAACTGGTGCTGGGTGCAGTGATTCCTTGCGGCGCTCAGCGAAAACTGCAGGAAGTAGCTGTGCGGACGTGCACCTGTTGCGGTTGTTGACGTCTGCGCCAGCATGGACAATGAGGATTCGTTGTAGAATTGTAGATCGACAAAGCGCAGATTGTAGTAGTCCTCCTGGAGCTGAGCGGTAAATGGACCCGGCTGCAGCTGCACGCGAATGCATCGCAGCAGGCAGTCCTCGCCTCGACTGAACTCCAGCACCATCGCCTCTTGCCGACCGATTGTCAATGCCAGCATATCACATTGGGTTGCCTCATGTACATAGTAGCTGCAATTCACAAAATCGCTATTCGGCTGCTGGTCCGGCTCAGCCGCAGACTCGGCATTCAGATGTTGGAGGTCGCCGCATATCACAGTCGAGCTCAGCTTGAAGCTGGCACTGATACTTTCCGTGGGCTTGTGGAATACTGCATCAATGGCGTTGAACATTTTGTCGCGCTGCTGTATAAGGGATAGCCTTTTATCGTGCGGCACAAGCAGGTTGCATTGGGCTAGACACTCATTTTCGGCCAGCAGGCGTGGCCAGACTTCCGCTGGGTTCACGGGATGAGGCTGAGTCAAATAAGCATTCTCCAGATACTGTCCCACGCGTTCCAAGTTGAATTTACTGCGCGTGGTCGTTGGCGGCGCCGGACTGCCATCACCCGGCAGCTCCTCTTCTGCTGTTGCAGTTGCTGCTGCAGCTGTTGTCGACGTCGTAGCTGATTTGTCGATGCTGATGTCTAGTTCTTCAGAGGGCTCTGGTATTTCCGGTTCCATAGCGCAAAAGAATTCGGCCAGCGCAAGATTCTCTTTGCCGGTGAAGACCATATCGTCGGGTATCTCCTGATGGGACAGACGCAGTATGGTGAATATAACCCAGGAGTGGAACAGCTTCATGTTGTACACCAATGCGTCAATCGTGCGCTGCAGCTCATGCACCTTTAGCAAAAAGGAGCCGCAGGCACGCATCGCCTCGCTGGCCACATCCGGCGAGATGAGTGCCTAATAGAAGAGAGAGACCGAGTATTCAATTGTGAGAGACTTGTGTGTCACCAAGTGCTAACCTCGAAGAAATGCGTCATGCGTCCAAAGCCCGCAATCGTATTGAGGAAGTAAAACATATTAATCGCGGCACCGTTGAGCTGCTTGAAGACTAGACCTTGCAGATTGTTCAGGGACAGATCTACCGAGTTGGCTATTTTCTTAAAGCCCTTCTCCGTGAGCGTTCTGTAGTTTTGGATGCCGTTGTATTGTATTGTATCATGAAAAGAGAGGAGAAACCAGCGGAGCCCATGAGCACTGTATACTGAGTATAGGGACGTAACTCACTCGAACAGAAACTCCTCGACCTCCAGGGTGGCATATCCGAATACGAGCAGCTCCAGGAAGTGCGCAGAGATCATGCCATAAGCCTGCGAATTGGCGTACTTTGTCAACTTGTTGTCCATTTCCAATTGTACAGTTTCCCAGGCCTCCGTTAGGCATTGTTGTGTGTCGTTGATGTAACTAAAGTGACAATGAAGCAATTAGTTGCCACAACTCCAGCACTCGTTATCCGCCGACTTACTTTTTGGTCTCTAGAATGTGAGCACAGTGCGAAGCCAGCTCCAGCATGGGCGATATGGAATCCTGCAGTACTTGATTATGAAAGTGCAATAGCTTCAGTTGCTGACCGTCGCGTAGCAGTGCATAGATAGCATTAAAGTCCCCATTCAGCCGCACATCATACACATCGAACTGATCGGGATTGAGTACATGTTGTGTGAGATCTATGCTTCCCGCTTGCAAGGCGCCTAGGAGTAGTAAATGCACTTTGCCGCTGCGCATAATAACGACCAGGAAACAGGGGGAGCCCTTGGGAAATGACTTTTGATCGAGAGTCTTCAGGCAAGGATCGATATTTGTTAGCGGCGGCAGCTTCGGTAAATAGCGCTTGTGCTTGTCCTTGGCGTTGCATGTGTAACTGTCTAGGCCTTCCTTGCAATTGATCGCTTTGCTGAAGTATACCTTCTTGATGTCATCCTCATAGATAAGGCCCGATATTATTGTCTCGCTCTCAGCATCGAGCAGCGCAACCTTACCATTGCTGTAGCCCACGGCCAACAGAGTCTCATCCATTTGCCAGCTAAGAGAGCGCACGCGAACATCCTCACCGGGCGTCGGGAAAGTGACGATTTTTTGCCAGTTTAGGCGCTGTATTATTACCTCGCCTACAATAAAGGTCCACAATCCGAGATAGATCAAAATGCTTGCCAAAAAATTTTGGCGACAAACCTTTCTCGGTGCCATAGGCAATAAGATCCATTTTGTTGTTCCACTCCATGCGCTCCACAATGCAACTCATGTTGCGTGCGCCAAGGAGCTTCATTGAGCTTGATTGAGCCATTACTCTATTTTTTGTTTTAAATATATATTTAATCAAGCTCCAAACATTTGCATTTATAGTTTATTTTATTTTAGTTTACCGGCTTGGAGGCGTTACTTATCGAAATAATCGACAGCCTCCTCATTTGGGGTTGCCAGACCTAATTACTACATGTTTATAAAAAGGATTTTATAAATCCGCTGTCCAACTAGATTAAAAATGCAAACGATTATATTTCAGATACATATTAGTATGTACGCTTATTTTATTTCAGAAATATGCCCAACATTTTGTATCTATTGTTGATGCAATAATGAACGTGCATGTATGTATGTTAATATATGTATATGTATGATTATGTCTATGTTATTTGTATGTAAAAATGTAGGAGCGAGCATGTTTGTGTACGTCTGTGTGTTGGTGTCCGTGTGTATCCATGTAGGTTTTACATGGCGTTGTTTTTGCTGCCTTAACAAGTTCTGGTAAATGAACTAGACAGCCTCTCCACTCCCTAATTCTGAGCCAGCGTCAGGCTTGATATTCTCATCGTTGATGCTGCCGCTTGGACTTGCGTCTGCAGTACTGCCAGGCGTGCCAACGCTACCACCATGATGCGTGCTGCCACATGCGCTGCCCGAGCCGTTGCCGTTGCCATTACCGTTTCCAGTGTGCCAGGTTAAACGTTCTTCGTAGAATTGTATTACGACTTGGGGACATTTGATGTTGGCCAGCTTGGCAGGCACTAGATCGGCGTGATCACTTCCCTTCCATTTCATCAGAAACATCAGATAACCGGAAGAGTCGGTGGCACCAAGGATTTTTGAAGGCTCCAAGCCACGATCGAAGCCAATTAGCTTCTTTTGTTCGTCTGTTTCTTCCTCCATGAATGATTTTCTCTTACTTCGTATTGATTCTGGCGCTGAAGATGTGGAAAGACGTTTTTTTGTCTCTTTTTTATTATTTTTTAATGATTCCTCGAATGTTGCTATCAAATCCGGACAATCCAGATTTTCGACCGGCTCCCAAGTATTTTCGCTGCGAGGATAGCCCTTCCACTTCAAGTAGTACTCTGTGCGACCATTAACTGTGCGTTTGTCTTCTACACGCTCAACTGAGAATTCGGCCATTGCAATTTGCTTTTGTTTTTCAGGAATTTTATTTATTTACTGTAAATTAAAAAAATTTGTGTTTGAAAAAAGTGACCAGTTTCTCAATTGTTTGGTGTTTTAGGTGACCAAATTTCCCAAGTAACAAAATCCCTTCTATCGGAATGAATTTACCAGGGCTGCTTAATACCATCGATAAGAAAACACTTAGCAGCTGATTTCACTTACATGTAGAAAACGTGCGCGAGAAGCAAAAATTTATAAATTAACTCCATATTAATTTGCTGCGCTACACTAATCTTAAGAAATAAAGTAATTCAATATGGGTGAGTTTGTCGCGGAAATGCAGGAGCGGCTGCTGCCGGAGTACGAGCAAATGAAGCTCTACCAAATATTTCGACCAGAGCAAATCAGGTAATTATTCACAACATTAAAATGATATATTACAATGTGAATATAACATATTAATAATTGATTTTCAGAGAATGTATACGCAAACGTGAACGCCTATTGCTGAATATAACCAAGAGCAAGAAAAGTATATCTGATTATTTGGAGTTCATAGTCTACGAGAAGACGATGTATAAAACAATTACCGAAAAGGAAAAACTTGCCGGCATTAAGCTTACGGGCCTCAAAGCCTCCACTTGCACACGTATTATGCGAATGTACAGGGAAATGTTGATTAAGTTTCCACATGAGCAGCGTCTATGGGAGAACTGGATTAAGTTCAGCAAGAAGTCTGCGCCACAGGAGGTGGCTGGCATATACGAGAAGATGCTTTCGGTAAGTTGCCTTTGCCGAACACAGAGGAAATCTATGCACTTTAGATAGTTGTCATGAATCGTTTTCCTTATCCTTTAGTATCATGGTGGTGATCCACAAGTTTGGATCAATGCCGCAGTGTGGCTTTATGAGTATAATCGTGCCAACATGCCGCGCGTCCAGGATATACTGTTGCGTGGACTTCAACGTCATCCCGCTTCCGAATCGTTGAACAATTGCTTCTTCAATATACAACTAAAAGAGGCCGCGCTGGCGGACAACAAACGTAGTTTGGGCGACAACACAATCTCAGAGCAAGACATACAAATGGAGCGTGTCGTGGCCATCTATCGCAACAGCCTGGCCAACATTACAAACCTAGATTACTTCCTAAAACTGCTCGAGAGCTGTGAGGATCATGCAGAGCTTACTGCAAAGCTGCAGTTCGACATCATTGAGGATATACAGACAAAGTTTTCACGTGAGCCAACGCTATGGGATGCATTGGCAAAGCGTGAGCTACGTGGCTTCCATCTCGGTGATCTTATGAATATGACAGATAACGATGATGATGGCGAGCCGAGTGAGAAGAAGTCGCGCACGGATACCCAAGTGAAAGTGTTTCAGACGCGCTCGAAGAAGCGTTGCATCCAACTATGCACAGAGGTGTACAAGACGGCTGTGCAACAGCTACAGACACAAGAAATGTGGAACTTATATCTAGACGCTATGCTGGCGCTTAGCAAGAACCATAAAACGGAGCGCGCCTTCGTTCAGAAATGCTTGGCGAGCGCTCTGCAGGACGGTCATCGCTCCAAGCTGATGCATTCGCGGCATTACGCTACGCTCAGCATGATCTTGGGCAGCGATGAGAATGGCGGGGAGATCTGTGTGCGCATCCTGACCGAAGCATTGCAGCACGATGACTCGCTGCGCATGCACGAGCTGCTGCTAGCCGCCCACATTCGCAACGATGATGAGCCGAGCGTTCACAAGCTGTTCAACCAGGTGCGCCGCACGATGGGCGCCGCCGGATTGTCGCTCTGGCAAATGGTGATTGCCTATTATAGGGCGCGCAGCGATAGCCAAGCCAAGCGGCAGCTGAATGACATTTACACACAGGCCTGCAAGGAGACCTGGCCGGAATTCGCCGAGCTACGCTGCAGCTACTTGCGCTACCTCTGGCACGAGCACTCGCCGGCCAAGGCCCGTGATGAGTATGCCAAGCTGGCACAGCAGCCACCGATGTCGCTGCAGCTGCATCGCGAAATGATCAGCCTAATAGAAAGCACCAAACTGAAGGTGAGTCCGCTCTTAATGCTTCACACTGGCATCTCTTAATCTATATCACTATGTGTTACGCCACAGGATCTATCTACAATTAAGGCGTGGCGCATGTGCTATGAATTTATGGCCACCTACTTTGGCAAGCGCGACCCGAGCGTTTGGATCGAATACATTGCCTTCGAGCGGGATCATGGCGAGGCCAAGAGCATTGGCTTGCTTAGCCGGCGTGCGCTCTCCACACTGGAGCCACAGTTTGTGTCTGTCTTCGAGGCGGAACGTGCAATGGCCCACGTTGGCATGGCCGTAACCAGATAGTTAAGCTAACTCTCTAACTCTAACTATGCAAACAGATTAGTCTCATAAGCACATGTTTATTTTTTATCCGAAAGTTCTATTGATAAAGCGGGTTAAAAATAAAACAATATTATAAAAACTTAATAAACATAGAATGAATTAATTAAACGGCAGATAGTAGTAGATGTATATAAGGGGTGATAAGCATTGCTCATTGTTATTAAACATGTTCTTATCCTGTATGCAAATGCATATCTTTATAGCTCTATATTCACATGCATCCATTTTAGTAGTATTTACAAGCATGACAGATAATGAGAAAGAGAGAGAGGCAGGTACATGATATCGAAAGAGAGGCAGAGTGTGTGTAACAAAGATAATCAGTTAATAAAAGTCAAAAGAGACAGAAAGGGAGAGGAGTTAGAAACGCACTTATATTTCGAGATTAAGAGGGAGTGACTAGAAATTGGGAAAAGAGAAATATATTGGATGGTAGGAAGGTGTAAATGCAGAGACTAAAAAAGATAGAATACCAAGAAGAGAACAATTGAAAGAGGAAACAACGCACAGAGGCTGAGAGATGCAACTATTTGGTTTGTTTGAGAGAGAGCGAGAGAGAGGAATTGCATTGCTTAAATTAGCAATAAGAATATATTAGATATACGTAAGTGACCTATGTATATTTCGAGTAACTTTCTACATTTTTAGTCTTTCATCTAGTGTTTCCTTAAGACTCAATAATTATCGTCTGTTCGATGTTACAGATTTTTCAGCTAAATAATAAAAACGCTCATACATAGACTGTAAACAGTTATGTTACAGCATGAATCCTCTTGGAGTGCGCACATTTGTCTTCATAAATGGAGTTAGTTAATGAAAAATCCATAATTATATTCATATTTCGCTTTATAAATGTTTAGTTATAGTATATGTAGTATAATCTAAATTTTAATTTAGTTTTTTAATTATTTACTTTAATAACACAAATAATAAAAAACAGGCTTACTTATGAACACGGTAAATATGTATGTGCGTTTAAAGGTATAATATAATTACAAACAGAAATATGTTAATATACAACCTATATACATACATATATGTATGTATGTATGTATGTATGTGTACACATGCATTTTATATTTGGCAATTAATGTTGATAAGAATTGGAGTATCTCCGTATTTGTAATTACGTACACACATGCATGCATACACACATACATATGTACATACATGCATGCTTACACTAACACATACTAGTTGCTCATGTCGGCATCAAATGCGTTGTTTGCAGTCGCTGTCGCAGTCGCCGTCGCAGTCGCAGTTACTGTCGCAGTCGCAGTTACTGTCGCCGCCGCCGCCGCCGCCACCGCCGCTGTTGCGCTACGCCTCTGCCTGGAATGGCAGAGCTTTGAATACGCGCGCTGGCGTACCTTCGGTTCAGTCAGTTTTCGCACAGCGCTTGGCAAAGACGTGCACACGGTCAGCTGCGTGAAGTGAAGAATTAAGCAAAAACAATAATAAACAAGCTAAACACAAACGTATCAACGGGAACGCCATGGAGTTTAACAATCGTTTGCTATTGAAGATCATTGAGCTGGTGAGTAACAATTGTAAATATACACAAATATGTGTATGTATGTGTGCTATGTACGGTATTTATTCTCTGTGACTGTATATTCATCAATCTAGACATACATATGTACACATGTATGTACATATTTATCTACTATGCTGTGAGTCCTGTTCAAACTGTTCTTAATACTGTGTCGCAGCTCCCTTTTGGGCTACATTTTCTCTTTACTTTTCGCTTGCACCGGCTGCTGTTGCGGCTGTTCTCTTTACTATGTTCTGCGTCATCTTCGTCTTCTTCTTCTTCTTCTTGTGGTCTATTTGTTATTGTTGTCGTTTCTACCCTTGCATCGGTTGCCTTGAATCAACCGGTTTGCATTGCTCAGACTCGTTTTCATTATTGGTCATGACTTCATTTGAGGTTTCTTTTTTTGGCAGTGATTGTTGTTGTTTTTTCATTTTATTGTTGTTGTGCGTGATTCCTTTTTTGTAACTGCGTAGTTCTCTAATGCGTGGCTGGCATTTTAAGTCCCTTGTGTACTTCCCGGCCCAGATCGAGCCGGCATGATGTCATTAATCTGTGGAGATTGTATTAGAAGAAGAAGAAGAATACAAAACAATAATGATTGGCCGTCGCGCTCCATGCTCATGTGGCCAGAGAATCGCAACAACAAAAGCAATCAACTTGCTCGCACTTCCGCCGATGATGCTCTGCTATCCATGATGTCACCACCGTTGCGCAGATTATTTGATTCGCATATTATATGTATTTATTTACTTTATTCGCTTATTGGATTACTTTGCGTTCGTTTTCGCCTCGTCGTTGACGTCGACGGCGACGGCGACGTCTCTTGATTTGCGACTGTCGAAAAGTGTTTTGTGTCCGGAGATCTGTCTGTCGGCATAAACAAAAATGTTGTTTATTATAATAAAAATTGAAATTCAGCAAAATTTGAATGAAGATCGGATTAAAAAATCGAAATGCGGAATGCCGCAAAACCTGCCAAAAATGGGAAATTTTTTTGGAAAATCTATTGAAATTCCTTTAAACAATTGGGTTTATCAGCTGACCTCGTTTTGCTAAATGTGTTTATTTTGCACATTCGCAATTGCAATTGCAATGGAAATTGCATATAGTACTTACTTGAGGCATAGATAGCGCCCACTTACACTCATTGTAGTCCGGCTGACGCATGCAGATTGCGGTTCATGGATCTAGCGCCTTATCGCCTTGGGATGACTGTGATGGCAGTCATTCCAGATCAATTCAGCCTATCGAGAGTATAATGCAATCAGTAAATGGCTATAAAATATATATTATGATCGGATAGATCGTATTATATAAAATTATTTAAATATACTCAAATATAATTACGAGTTTTTACGGGCGTGGATTTAAATATAGATGATTTCAGATTTCAATAAATGCTCAGAATTTTGGCAATTTCGAGAATTTCAGAAATTTCTATAATTCTTTTTATTATTATTAAATTTTCGGTTTAAATGAACTTAGAGTCTTGGCTGATATAGATTTTGTGTATACATATATTATAAACAAGTATGTATATTTCCCATGGAGTGTGCGGCTTAGATAACTGCTGATCATATATATATATACAGTTTTGTAACTTATATTCAAATCAAATTAAGCTTAGGCTATGGATTACTGCTGAGATTCGCTATAGATAGACCCATAAATTAATTATATCAAGTCTTGGTTATATGTATAATAACATTCTGATAAAATGGGGCGAGTATTATATAGTCTAGTATTATAATGTAGCTGTGTTGATCAACTTTAAATATAAAACACTTGCCTTAGTCTTGCCCTAGTGTTTTATATTTATATATGAGCCACATAGCACTCATCATTGGATGATTTCACATTTCAAGTGAGCAATTTGTCGCTTAATTTAACAACTGTTTTAATCATGACTTTCAATTACGCTGCACGCATCCAAGTGGGTATACATACATATATATAGAATATATATATAGTACTCATTTATTTATAGTACTAAACGAACTTGAAGCGGAATACTTGAAGGAATACTTGTATATATATGCAAAATTTAGGAATACTTGAAGGAATACTTGTAGATATATGCAAAATTTACAGGTAGATCATGAACTAAATCCGTAGCATCTCCGGGCTAGGGCCTTAGCCCGGGTTGAGTGAGTTCGACATGAACAATTTGTTGCCTTGGCATGAATCAGAGTGTGATCAATTTATTAATACCCTAAGCCGTAACTGGTTCTAGGCAAACGCCTAGATCTGACCTTGATTGCATATAGGGACCACACCTTAAAGGTATACATATATAGCTGAGCTATCTGTGGGAATACGCTGGCTAATTAAATGAATCGAAATGGTATGGAATGGAATGGAATGAAGTGGAATGAAGTGGAACCAAACCAAGACGCGCCTCAAGTCGCATTGGCACGTAATCGACGTCAGCGTCAGTTGATCACGAACTTGTGTTAATTATGATGATCACGCTGATGATGATGATGATGATGTCATAATTATGGCAAGTGCGAACTCTAACAGAATCATATTACGCATACGCCATGTGCGCCGGCGTTGGGGGCAGCCGCGAAAGGTCGAAGCTGCGGGCACTGCATTGAATAAACAATAACCGAAGTAATGTGTGCGAGTGTGGCATAGCTAATTTTTAATATTTGTTGTTGTTGTTGTAGTTGTTGTTGTTGTTATTGGGTCATTTAATGAGCTAAACAGCAGCAACTGCCAGCAGCCAGCAGCCAGCAGCCAGCAGCAACAATTGCTCAGCTCAGCTGAGTCATCTTAATTCAACAATAATGGAAATTCGCAACATTCTTTGGCAACAAAATATGATTGTTATTTGCTTTTTGGCAACGCCAGTCACGGGCCCCAAGCCCCAAGGCATAGTAGAGATAAGGCGACGCATTTATTGTTTGCATTAGATATACATATAGCTAAACAGGGGTACCGAGGGGCAGGCCGGCCGAGGTAGATAGAACAAATAGTTAGTTAGACATGCTCATAGTGTACTCCATGTTCGGATCTCTATTCAAAGTTTTTCTGTTTCTTTTTTTTTTTTTTGTTCCCCCCCCCCCCAATTGCTGCAACACAGTCGCAAATCTGTTTACGAGCTAATAAATGTTTTAACTGCGAATCTGTGCGCGCTATTATTGTTCGCGATGTTAATTTATTTGTGCTTCTGCTTCTTCTTCTTCTCGTTTTTGTTTTCTCATTTGTTGTTGCCGCTATTGGGGCATGGCCCATTGTTGCCAGCTCGGAGCAATGGCCATTGTCAATGGCATGTCGGCGTCATATAATTAATTACTAAATGCTTTGCCCCTTTTTTGCCCTACCTCCCCCCTCTGACCCCTTTCTGCCACGCCTTCCCGCTCCCCCTCATGCTAAACGCGTAACAAATCGTGGCTGATATATGGGCATGGCTCGCCTCGATCAGTATATGCTTACTTTCCAGTCGCATAGGCCTAAGCTTCAGACAGCCAATGGACGAGGCTCGTAGCATTGTGAAATTTCAGCCAACGATTCGCCACACTTAATAACCAACTAACTATCCAAATCGATCGTGAAAACTATTCAAATGAGTCGTGAAAACACTGTTGAGAGTGGGGTATTCCAGTGTAAAAAATCGGAAGTTTTTGGTTCGAAATTTGCTTAAAGTATATCATACAGAAAGAGAAATGGAAGACTTTTAGATAAAGGGTAGTATACCTTTCGAGACTTTCGGTATTTTTCTTGAATATTAAAGGAAATTCTTCATAAATTAGCGCGAATATCTTTAGATAAAGGAAATTTTTGGTACACCCTGTAAAACAGCAATCAAAATCAGGAATAGTATTTCTAATATTGATTATAATAATATTGAATATAAATGAATATAAATTATTCAATAACTAATGTTTATATCTAGAGTAAAAGCAAGACTGTACAAAGGAGACCTCCTCTTTATATACCCTGAACCCATTGAAAATGGCCAATCAGGGTATAATAGTTTTGTTATTAATAAAGTAAATCATACAACAAATAGAATTTTAATTCATATATAGATGATATAAACTTGAGTCTCGAACGTGTATTTCCATTATTTAAATATTATATTGTTTTATATATTCATTATATTTCAAATTTGCCGGATTCCCATATGTAAATCCAAGTTCTATACCGCTCAAAAAACATTCTTAAAGCTCGATAATTGCTAAGACCAAAATGATCTAATTTTTGTTGTAATTTAATTATCTAATTTTGAAGCAGTTTTAAGGGAGGAATATAGGAGGAAAATATAGGAATACAGTCAAACAGAATTTTCTTAAGAAAAACTCTCGGTTTTTGTTTTTCCATGTGTAGGATTTAGATTTTTATGCATTTTTCATTGCCCTATAAATATTTTAGAACTATATACAAAATTTGACAACAATAATAAGAGATGGTTCCAGCTTTTATGCTGGGTTCATGATTCTGGCTATAAATTATAAATGTCTATGTAGTCGAGGCATGTTAGACATACTAAATTGAAATTCTAAAATTAGGACAGTCTGGCGATATGGCTAGATGTTTCTAGGTACTATCGGATTCGATCAGTTTATGCGTATTTCGCCTTGAGATTGTTTTCATATATTATTGGAATATAGCTCTAGATAAGTTGGGCTTCGGTAATTTAGGCGATATGCCTATGTAGTCTATTAAATTGCTCAGGTTTAATTATGGAATTCCCGAAATGGACCTAAATCTTTTCATCAAAATGATGAACGGCGTGTCAAGTTGTCTAGTCTCGATGTGAATTATTGGGATACAAATAAGTTAGCCAAAGATTCCCTGCTGCCCGTTCAATTAAATTACCCAATATATCCGTATGGCGAAGAAAAACAAATGGGCTTCAGTTAGTAAATGTTATTTGTACTTTCCTAAGTTTTTTTTTTTTCTGCTTTTATCATCCAAATTTATTTGCTACTAATGGGCGTGAAGTAAACAATAATAAAACACATGCGCTGGCTAAATAAAATATTGCCTATATACCAAATATACACACACATACATACATATGTATGTATGTATCTCTCCCGCTCTATGAATGTACATATATAGAGATATATGTATGTATAGACCGATATGACTGTGAGCCTGTATCATGCATTATCTGCAACTTGGTAAACATGCTACCTTAATGACTTTTCGTCATCATCGTTGTTGTTGTTGTTGTTGTTGTTGTTGTTGTTAGCTCATATTACCAATCAAACAATTGTCAACTTTGTGTGTGTGTGTGTGTGTGTGTGTGTGTTAGCCTTAACAGGATATATAACCATGTCTCATCCTTTTAGCTGGCAATTAACGGCGTCTAACAGCGTTTCTAATTGATTGATTGATTGCCCCAGTTAAGCAGGAAGCGTTCTCTCATGTCATTTATATACGCACACACACACACACCCATAGTGTGTGTCGGTTATCTATATATACATATCTCTCTCTCTCCCTCTCCCTCTCTCTCTCTCTATTATAGATCCATTTGTTGACAATGGCCCGTCAATATTACGGCCATTTGTCATATCAATATCTAAATAATTTCCATATCTGATAAGCAAATTGGCTTTAGTTCACTGGCAATTCCGTATGGCACTAAGTCCCGCGACTTACAGCCATTATATTGCAGACTTATGATACTGAGCAACAGGCAATGGGACTTGGGGCTTCCATATGAGTGCGGAGACTTTGCTCTTTAAGTGTGGGGCACTCCAAGCGAAAAGCAATAAAGTGAATTAAAAATTAATAATAGTTAAAGAGAGATAGATAGACATATCTCTATCATATATGATATAGAGATAGAGTAGAGATATAAATCATAGAAAGCCAACATGTTTTGATAAGTCTAGTCAAATCTAAATAATTGGATCAATTGGATCATATATAAATACATTAGATAAAACTATATAAAGGTTAGGTTAGTTATATGTTAAACAAATATATGCATAGAAATTTGGAAAAGTTTATGAACTCACAGATAGAAAACAGAACAGATTGTTGGATATATTTATATAGATTGGCCTATATATTCATAGTTAGAAACGAGTTGATAGACAGATAAACTAAAATTACAATATTTAGTATATTTAGTCCTTTAATATATTACGGAAAAACAGTTTTTTTTTTGTGGATTTTTATCTTTAAGCTTAAATAAAACTTAGTGGTATCAAAACTTAACAGAGTTTTAGTGAAATTTTCGCGTAATTTTCAAGACTTGCTCAGATAATTTAAAAACAAAAATATCTAAAAATGTATTTATATAGGAAAAAAAAAAAAAGAATCTAGTGCTTTTCCTTCTCTGTGCGTTTTCCTCTTCTATAAAAAAGAGCAACATGTTTGTGCATGCACGTTTCTACAGTTATTACTGTCTTTACCTATGTTCCTCAGCTGATTCTGTCTTTAACTATGTTCCGTGTGAGTTTGTCTGTTCCGTCGTTCCGTCGTTCCGTTGTTCCATTGTTCCATTGTCCATTCGTTCGTGCCTGATCCAGTATTTTAAGCGCTAATCGCAGATCTTCACGGCAAGCATTATCATATTGATCGAGAGCGTGACGGATCACGGCTATAGCAGCCAGGCGATGCTCGTCTGTGGAACGCTAACCGGCTACCTGATCATATGCACTGCACTGAGCATAGGTAATATCGCCACCCCCCGTCCCCCCACGATGATCCCAGCCAGTTGCCCGCCAGCCTGACTGCACGACTGTGCATCCCATTCCGTTCCATTGCCATTGCAGGCCACTTGCTGGGCGCCCAGCTGGACAAGCGCATCGATATACTCTTCACGGTCGCCGGCTGTGTGCTGTTCGTGTCGACGGGCGCCACCATATTCGATCGCTGGATGCACCGCGTCGAGCTGGCCAGAGACAAGAACACCATCCTGGCCTCTGGAGTGCTCTGCTTTGTCACCGCCGCCTTTTTTATCGCTGACACATTCGTCATATTTCATGCCCAATAAACGTTCGACAAATTCCAACAATGACATGCAAACACATTATTATTATTCACTTGGAAATCTAGATGAATCATTGGGTCTACGTGTGTGCACTATAGAGTTTAGTCACCAAAAAACCAATTGAACATTTTTTTTTTCTAATTAAAATTCTAGTGTCAACTATGCAATCTCGGCTTTCCTTTCTATATACAGAACTCTAGAGCAAAGCGCAGTAAGTGTGCTCTAGTTGGAACTGCCTGACTAGGACACAGTCACATAAAGCGCGTCTGAGAGTAGCTAGGACATTGGGATTAGGATTATTTTTGCAATATTTGAACGAATTAGTATATAGAATATCTTGAAAGTTGTTTTCTCTCTGTATTAGGAAAGACAAAGTCTTGTATTATATAGAATATTTTATATATTAAATATACATATATCCATATACATAGCTTTTCTTATAATATATAAAATATTTTTCTTATAATGATATTGATAATGGTTCTTATTATATATTTTGTTGTTCTATTGTATTCAAAATTATTCTAATGCTTTTTGGATTGGTTTTATGCAATGTCCACAGCTCAAGATGCGAAAGATATGGAGGATTTACGATCATATGTACATACAGATCTCCTAAAGCTTTATAGCTGAATGCCTTAATATTAAATGAGTTATGTAGGACTTCCTTTGGGAGGGAATGGAAATACCGACAATATACACAACGGAACTGTAGAAATTACAGGGTACTTTTATTTTGTAGATAATACAAATGTTCAAGAGTAGCCCAAATTGCTGATTGGGGCCCGTGACACATCGTTTTAGACTATGTAGAGTTTTGCTTATTTAATTCTAGCATTTCTATCTGAAATGGAAAGGAAGTAAGCAACAAATCATAAAATCCTTGAATTTGAATTCGAAATATCAGTAACTTATAAGGAAAGTATTATAATGAAAGATCAAGCAGCTAGATAAGACAGACAGAGATATATATATATATCTCATTATTCTCTTTTCTCTTCTTCTTTGCCACCTAACTTGTTTTAGCCATTATTGATGATATATTTGATGATATTTACAGGGTATTGCCATCGCCTGTGTTGTGCTCTATGAGGTGGTTGGAGATCTGAGCAAGCGTCCGCTGATTGTGTGCGGCACCATTGTGGGCTACACAGTCATCTGCGCCGTCCTGCTGATCGGTGAGTAAAACAGAAAAACATTCTTATCTCAGATCCTAACTCTCTCTCTCTCTCTCGCTCTTGACTTATCCCCGTACAGGGCACTTCATCAACTCGGTGGTGGAGAAGCGTCTCAATGCGCTGCTCTCGCTGCTCGGCTGCATTCTGTTCGTGGCCTCCGGTGCCTTGGTCATCGATGAGTGGCATGATGCCTACGACTTCTTGAAGGATCGCAAGCGCAACGCCCTCGCAGCTGGCTCCCTGATGATCATCAACGGCGCCGTCTTTCTATTGGACACGCTCTCCATTTGCAGAACGTAAGCCCCAAACGCAAGCAAGGGGTATCCATGCAGAGAGCAACTGTCTCTCTGTCTATCTCTACATTTTTTTTTTCTCATGGCTTCTGTGTGGGTCATAAAATGCGAATAATGAATCTTGTGTAAACTCTATATATGAATATCATGTACACCCATCTATATACTATATAATTGTTCGTATTTTTTTTTTATATACATATACATACAAAATATACGTATACTCTATATGATAATATCTCTAAAGCACTTAAGTGAAATTCTGTAGCGCACGAAACACAAATTTGCTAAACGAATGTTAAATTGTTGACAGGAATCCATTAAATATATGTATGTATATCTCTGTATATCTGTATATCTGTAAATGTACGCGTATAAGTATGTCTGTCTGTGCCTATAACTGCTCGAACTGCTGCATCTGTCTAGGCTGGAGGTGGCCCCTGTTCGTTCCATTCAGCTGCACACCTGACTTGATGTCACCTGCCGCCATCTACTCTCCATTCATTCCATCCAACCAAGCCATGCACAAAGATGGTCTTTAAACAAGTCTGGCAAATATACATATATTTGATATAAAGATTGTATTTTCTACAGGATATCGAATATTTAACAGCATTTAATTATCTATCTGAGAATTGTATGTGTGTGCGTGTTTTTTTTTTTTTTTAATAATATTAAATGCAAATTCACAAACTGCCATGAATTGTTTTCTTAGGCGGGGCAGATTGCCAAGTGCTTTAAAGTTGCCTATATGCTTTTGCTTCTACTTTGAAAATTACAGGGTATTTGGCATTCGTTGCGCTGCTCATGCTGTCACCTCATTGTCTTCGCTGTGTGTTGTTGTTGTCGCTGTCTTGGCTAAGCAATTTATTTCATTTCCTAATTTATATTCTTACTCATTTACCTCCCCTTTTACTACCCGCCCACCCACTAACTAGGCGCACCGTCGTGCCCGTCTTTAAGGAAGAGCCGCAACCGCCAAAAGACCAAGTTGAGAAAAATCGGTTCTAGACGCTAACTAAATTCATTTAACTAAACAAAAGACTAAGCTGAGTTGTGATTAAAAATAAAATATGTTTGAAGGTGTTTTTTTTTTAAATTTTATTTAATTTTATTATTTATTTGCAATAAGAATTTTGTTTTTATAATTTTTGATGAGGTTTTTTCTGTCTGGGAGTTTCCCGTCATTTCAAGCCGGAAAAGACGTTTGACGTGCTATAGAAAAATATGAAGTGAAAATCTCATTCATTCACAGCCGTTCGAGTTGGTTGTGCCGAAAAATAAGTTTTCATAGTTTTCTTTCATTTTCAAACAGAAATTATACGACTGAAGCGAAAGTATTTATATATATATTGATATCGATATATATACATATATATTTCATTTCATTTGTCGCGACCTGTTCACAACGCGTCGCGGTCAGTAAGCCTCGCGAATGCCTAAATTTTGGAAGCTGCGCATCTGCTTGTATATATTCATCTATTTCCTGTGGCTCTACATTCGCCCAGATGTATCTAAATTTTGCTGCCAGCATTGGCCGTTTCGCCAGCCCCGCCAAGCTCTGGCAGCCGCACAGTTTCGTTGAGAAGCTGCAGCAGGAGTCGGCGTACACTTTTCTGGCCAAGCACAGGACACGCAGGATGCCACAGCCAGCCATCGCATCCGAGGCTCTGCTGTTGCCCCAGGGTCGCGGCGTTGCTGGAAACGTAGCTCACACAGAAGTCAAGGAGGAACTCACCGAAAACGAACAGTAAATGGATGTCACCAGGGGCGAAGGGGGAAAGGGGAAGGGCTGAGGGCTGAGGGCGAAGATTTAGTTTAAAGCGGCACAAATCGTTTCATGTTCAACTTTAGTTTAGTCGATGATCAAAGTAGTTACACCCATGAGCAAATAAAAATTAGCACTGCAATCGAGTTATATTTGATGGGCATAGGGATATACATAGTGTCCCTGCGGTTATTGGAATGATAATGCTGGCCTCTAGTCTAAGTAAATCTATATGGAAAGTATATATTCTAAAGAAAAAAGCTATCAGCCTGTGGAAAATTCTATAAATATTTCGTAGCTCCCACGCTGGTTCTTTCGAGCGGTTCCAAGTCTTCCCAAGGATTACTAAAATATGCAGAGAAAGAGATAAAGGCAGCACATATCGTTCTTAGTTCTTTTACATATGTACATCAATAAAAGTTCTGCAAAATTCTCTTCCAATATTCTCTTCCCCTAAATATCCCTTTCATAATATTTACGTAATATTATGTCTTCGATTTGCATGTCAAATTTCTGACAGTTTAATTTATTTTCTTCATTTTGTTGTGGGTATGTCAGAGAGTTGAAATTATTTGTAAAAAATCTATTCAAGTATCTAGAAAATTGACCGAGACTACGAAAATGGCAGGATCTGAACAGAAACCAAAGATTATGGCCTGTGACTTTGAGATCAATGGCAACCTGCAAAAGGAGGCCTTCGAGCTGTTTGCCGTCGCTCAGGCCAAGCTCTTGGGGCTACGTGGCTACATCATGCAGGTGACCGAAGAAAAGTACAAGGGCCAGCTGCAGGGCGAGGGCAAGGTGATCGAGGCGTTCGAAAACCTTATCAAGAGTGCCGCCGAATATGTGGCAGCCATTAAGGAGTTCATCGTGAAGAACTTGAAAATAATCGAAGAGTACACCTATGAAGCATTCGAGATCAAGAGGAAAACTTAAGAAAGTGTCTGGGTTATTATCTAATACATACATATACATAGTACATATATTTTGATTAAATTTGAGTGCCCAATGTAAATATGCCCTGTCACTTTCTGTAACCTATGTAGGTCATTCCAAACAAAGAAATAGTGACCTGATAAGATATGACAAAAGTATGTGTATTATGGAAGTCTTGGTCAGAATCTATTCTTCTAGTCCATTCTCCAGAATCACCGAACTAGATACGACGTTCACGGCGCAGCTCCAGTTGCAAAAAATCAAGTTAAATATTTTGTTAGTACATTTTGTGAAGATCTCATTACGAATGTACAGCTAGTGGTGCAGGTAAATATTTGTTCGAAACATTCTTATGTACATACATACATACATACATATACAAGTATGCAATATCTGTACATACAAACCCATACGCGAAAAAGCCGCAAAAATTAAAGGAAATTAACTGAGGCACGACAGCGGGCTAGCGGGCCAGCAGCGACCACTGTGTGGCACCATCAGCAGCTAATCAGTCGGCTAAGTGCGACAGCGCCGACGCCGAAGCCGACGTTGACGACGACGCAAACGGCGGGCAATGATTGCGGTCGCGGCGAATAAGTTGTTGTAATTGCAACGCAGTGGCAACGCCGACGAAGCGAAAAGAGCAGACGCAACAGTGCTGATAGCTTTTAACTTGGGCTAGTGTTGAGCAAGCTTTATAGCTAATTCTCTTCAGTTTACAGCAGTTTTCTTAAATTGACTAAGGCATTGCATAAGACAATATCATAATGTGTATAATTTATTAATTTTGTTGCTGTTACTAACATAACTTAATATTTTGAATTAGCAGAAAATGCATAATTTTTTATCACAGCTATATGAAAATATTTATACCATAAAAAATTAAATTGTATACTCTCATATGCTCGCTGCTGGCTTGAAAACGGCCAAAGCAATCAGAGCTGTTGGTTGACTTCAGCGATTGGCGCAGTCGCAATCGAATTGGAGGAGTCGTCGTCGTTGCCGTTGTTGCCGTTTCCATCGCCATCGCAATCGCTGTCGCCTTCGCCGTCGCCGAAGCCGTTGTCAGTCAGTTTGCTTTGAACTCTCGTACGTGAAAGTCGTCTCTGCGCTCGCAGCTCAGAGAAAAAAGCTTTGCCAAAACAATTTTGAAAGCGCAGGCGTGCAACGGTTTTTTCCTCTTTCTATACACGATTTGTTTTTGTTATCGTTTGATGATGTTTTTTTTCTTCTCGTGTATTAATGTTGTGGAAAGCATATGAATATTGTGCATATTTTAAAGAGTTGTTTCGCGTTCCATATCGATTTTCTTTTTTTTTTTTTAAATTTTTTATTTGTTGTGTGTTTTGTTTATTTTTTTCCACTCGCAATTTTATGATCTGTGCAATTTTGCTGAAAATTACTGAAAATATGCAGCAACATTAATAACAACAGCCGAGACAACAAAAGTCAACAACAGCAATTACGAGTGCTTGGCGTACCAGCCCATTACGACCAGAGGAAGTGGTAAGCAAATATGCATTGCATTTATGTGCTTTATTATTATTATTTTGTATGTTGCCTTCTATTCATAAGAAGCTAATAATAATGAATAATAGCGAAAGAGCGAAAAGACCAAATCTAGCTGATAATCTGACTGGCTGCCCATCCCAGCTGGCATACAAGCGAGCACGGATACAGATGCAGATGCAGATGCAGATACAGATACAGATGCAGATGCAGATGCAGATAAATTTGCACAGATACAAACAAGCTAGACATAACCTCATTAAAGTTGTCGCCGTTGTTGTCCTCATTTTATCCGGCTGCCACTGAGCCCAGCTCCATCATGGAGTTGCTGCCGCAGCCGCTGTCGACGTCGACGGCGCAGTCGGAGCCGTCTTCGATTATTGAGCCGTTTGACTTTTTCTCAACAGCGACGAACCTGTTACCAAAGTAGCAAAAAAAAAGAGTATAAAAGAAAACAGAAATAAATATAAATATGTATATACTATATATATATTGTACATATATACATATATAATAAAAATAAAATAAAATATAAAGAAAAAAAAAGATCGTCTTGCTGCCTGTGGCTGCCTCTAGAAATCTGTATGCGAGACAATCTTAAAGCTCTTTTTCTGTCGATACACTTCAATTAGATCAGGGTAGCAAAACATGTTCATTCAGGCTTTGCGGGTTTACGCATGAATGGACCAGTTCAGCTGTCAGCTGTAGCTGAACCTCGCACAGATTCAGCTCAAATACAATAAACCTAATGGAATATTGATTACATTAGCTAATTTCTTAAATGATCCTTAAGCAACAATTGCTAATTTTATAAAATTTATTTATTATTTATCAATTTATTTTTATTTTCTGCCACTTGAATATATCCATATGAATTTCTCTACATTTTATATAATTTCAAGAGTTTATATCCATTTCGCCCCTATTTACATATCTCAAAAATATTTGTTTATCAATTTCTCTCTCTTTTATCCATACGAATTTCTCTCTATTTGACATTTAAAAATTGTTGTTTATATTAATGTTTGTCTATTTTGCATTTGGTATATAAATGCATTACATTTAAATATAAATATGATGAAATTAATATAGATTTCAGGCATTTACAGTTACATACATCTATCTATAGAGCATGCCCAATTCGTTCTTATTCATTTTAATTTTACTTAACTTGTTGATTGTTGTATTTGTTATTTCTGTTGCCATGTTGCCATGAACTTGCTTTTTGGCCAAATGCCTGGGTTGGCCAAAAAGGCTAAAAAATGAGAAAAAAAAAAACAGTTTAGCACTCGCGGCACGCCGTGTTTCGGAGCAATTTTCGTTTGGATTCGCTCGCCTCAATTTGTTGCCGACTGACTCTCTCTCCCCCTCCCACCCCCCTCCTTTTGCTATGCGCACGGTTAACCCTCAGAGAACATGAAAATTATTACATTACCGTTCCGCATCATCATAATTGGCGCACGCTTGAAATCTACTTTAGCCACAGCTTCAATTTGCCACACGTTTTGTTTAGCCCACCTTAGCCCCTTTGCCACGCCCCCCTCCGGCCGTCTCTAAGCGTCGTCAGCGTCATCATCCAAAAGGAATTGAAAGTGCGCGCGCATGCGCAATTAAGGCCAAGTGCGCAAAAAACAAAACAAAGCCAAAACTCAACTAAATAAAATAAAATAAAATAATATAAAATAAAAGCAAGAAATTGAGAGCCCACAACAACAACAACACAACACAACACAAATTGTATAAAAGTCAACAACAACAAAGGCTACAAAAGCTTCCAGCTCGAAGGCTGAAGTGGAGCGAGTGCCGCAAAAATTCACTTTTTATATTTTTGGGGGCACAGAGAACGCGACTCCAGCGCAGTCTCGTTATGAGCCACAACATGTCTAGAGCTGCACACACACACACACACACACACACACACACACATGCACACACAGAGTGAGGTGTGTTGATGGTGAAAATCAACATACAGGTTATACAGATTTATGATCACTTTCTGATACTGTTCGCTGAGTGCGTCCGTTCATCAGGCGCCCCAACTGTCCCCCCTATCGCCCCCTTCCATCTCGTCTATCGTTGCTCGCACAAATGTAGGTGAGCCTCGGCCACAGACTCTACTTCTACCTGTACACGGCTGGAAACACATTAGCGCCAAGAAGAAGATGTGCGCGCCCGGCCAGCCGCAGATCGAGGTCAGCCAAGCTAGCCGAGCCAAAAAGATCTTGGTGAAAAGGCAATTTGAATGTCACGGCGATTATTCTACATTATTTCCAGTTTGGCATTTATTATAAATTATTTGTCATTTCATCCAGCAAATGGCAAAGCTATACGCCAGCCAGCCAGCTAGATTGCCAGGGTCTTAAGGTTTCTATTATTTCGCGCATTTGTCTATTCGAAAATCGGAAAGTACCAAGCTGAAGCAGGGAATGATTTGTTCAATTCATAGTTCATGAATTTACCTATTAGATTATATGTATATGACTTATAGGAAGGAGTTTACTTTTGCAAATATGCAACTAATAGTCAGAAGGGGGCGTGGCGAATGACGCAGGGTCTATTCTTCTGCTGTACATCTATACTTTTGGTATATCTCAAATATATTTTCCTTATTTTACTTGATTTCAATAGCACGTATCATATGCATAATATCGATAGTACTCGATAGTTTTTTGCTTTTTAAGCTCAACATGGAGATATGACATTGACCATTTCAGCTCATTTGGATACATGCTCGCTTTTTTAGATATTCTCCCCGTATCTCCTAACTTGAATAACTCAATTCATGGCTGTAAAGCCGAAACATTAAAGAAATCGAGTCATAAATTCTCAGATTTTCTGTTAGTATGATTTCAGAATGTTCCACGGGTCGTATTTCTTGCTCTAAAGATACTGATTGATTCTTGAGCTACTCTAAACTCTTACAGCTTCAGTAGCGCTATGCAGTTTCAGTCTACTGTTCCAGCTTTATTTCCAACTTTATTTAGAGTCAAGATAGCTATTGATTTCTTAGCTGTAGCTCCACCTTTAGCTTCAACTTCAGATTCAGCTCCTGTTTCAGTTTCATCACCAGCTACAGCTCCAGTTACATCTCCAGTTTGAGCACTAGCTCGAGCTGCAGCATTATCTAAGTCGAAATTGAGCTTCAGCTGCATCATAAACTTTAATTTTCAGCTTCTGTTCCAGCTCCAGTGGTCGCTTTAGCTACGGTTCCAGCTTCATTTCAATTAAATATTATAGCAATTGATGATTTCGCCTCCAGTGATGCTTTCAGCTCCAGTTTCGACCTCAACTCCAGCTGATAGCCAGATCCAGCTATAGCTCTAGCTCCAGCGCATCAGCTTGCTGGCCTTAGCTTCAGCTCCCATTCCACTTCGAGTTCCATTTCCAGTTCCAGTTCCAGTTCCAGTTCCAGTTTCAGTTATAGTTCTATGTTCAGATCCAGCTTCAGCTGCAACTTATTTTCAATTAAAAAGAGCTCCCCTTTCATTTCCAGTTCCAGCTTCAGCTACAGTTCCAGCTCCAGCTCCAGTTCCAGCTTCATTTCAACTAAAGATAGCAGCAATTGATGATTCCGCTTCCAATGTTGCTTTTAGCTCCATTCCGGGTTCCAGCTGATGTAAGCATCAGCTCCACTCTAGTTCTTAGCTTCCAGTTCCAGCTTCGACTTCAACTCCAGCTGAAAGTCGGATCCAGCTATACCTCTAGTTCCAGCTAGAGCTCTAGCCCCAGTTTCAGCTGCTGGACTTACCTCCAGCTCCTTTTCCGCCTTTAGATCCTCTTTCAGTTCCAGTTCGAGCTCCTCTGCCAGCTTCAATTCAGTTGATGATTCCGCTTCCAATGTTGCTTTTAGCTCCATTTTGGGTTCCAGCTCTTACATCTTACTCCGCTCTAGTTTTTAACTCCAGTACCAGCTTCAACTTCAACTCCAGCTGAAAGTCGGATCCAGCTATAGCTCTAGCACCAGCTTCAGTGGCTGGTCTTAGCTCCAGCTCTCATTCCGCCTTGAGCTTCACTTCCACTTCCAGCTCCAGTTTCAGTTCCAGTTCCAGCTATATTTCCAGGCATTTCATCCCATAATTTCAGCAGCCGCTTGCAATAATTGTAAATTGCATGGAGCGCGCTTTGGTCACGGTTCGATTGGCGCGTTGGCTCCAGCTTGACTGGACTTGAGACTTCCTTGCCTGTGCTTCCCATGCCAAGAGCAACAACAACAACAACTTTATATACATTTTGTTGTCTAGCAACAAATTGAATGCTTAAATGTCGCTTGGCACACAGAACAAAGAGCGCTGAATGTTCGTCAGCATCAGCCGAAAAACTCTCACGGCGACGGCAGCAACAGGGCAACAGACGTGCTCTGGCCATACCCTGTACGCGCTGCACACGGGCTGTGATGACTGCCAAGGCGAAGTGAATGAGCTGTGGAGCCAAGCTGCTGCAGTTTATCAATATCAACTTGAATTTGTGGCTTTTTACAGGGTATCTGGTGTGTGGAGCACTTGTTGCTCTTCTTTGCTGCTTCTTCTGCATCTTCGTGTTGTTGTCTTTGTTATTTATATAATATTTTGCTGCTGATGTTGGCATAAACTTGGCTCTTAGCCTGACTTAATGCAAACAAACGCCAGCAGCAGCAGCAGCAGCAGGAGCAGCAGGGGCAGCAGCAGCAATAACAATAATAATAAGCCTTGGGCCACACAGCAGCAGCGCAGCAGCGCAGCAGCGCATCAGCCGCTGGAAAGTGAACGGGAATTGGATGGGAAATGGGAATATCTACATATGTGTGTGCGTGCGTGTGTGCGTGTGTGTGTAAGCCACAATGGCAACATCTATGAGCATTGGCCAAGCATATTTCCGATTGTTTATTTATTCTTTGGCAAAGACAACGGCCAATGTCTATATGCGCCGCGCGATTTCGGGCGAATGCGACGCGCCAGATAAACAAAACTGAGCGTGACTAATGGCTGGCCAAGCCCCAAGAGCAAGTCGATGGCAGCAGC